TTACTGTGTCTTATTTTATACATTTCTAGCAAGAATTGGTTGATGAAGACATACTGTAGTATTTGTATACTGTTAGACATATCTCTGCTTTTGAAAAGGGACTAATTGTAGCAAGCTCATGTCTTTAAAGTGAAGACACCTTTAAATTACCATGTGTATGCACATGCATACGAGTGCGGTGTGTGTGGTATGTGCGCATACACACGTGTGCGCATGTGTGTGTATGTATGTATGTGTGTGTGTGTGTACAAGATTGCATGTGCCTGTCTTCCCAGAGAAATCCTACCCACAATCCCAGCTTCGTCTTTACTCTTCTCAGGAGCTCTGCTCTAGTTTTCTTTTATCCTGTATTGAAAACATGCCCTTTAATGAAGCTGCAACAATACATGTATCATGTATTTTAAATACATTTTACATACATTTAAAGTTTTCATTTCATATCGATATCGATTTTGTTTAAGTCCAGTTCATTTCCAAACTCAAAAGAAAGGGATTTTCACAGTATTTTCAAGCCTCAAAGAAGACAAACTGCTCACAGCTTCTGCCAACATTTGTGTCAGCTGCAAAGAACACAATTAGTTTATATAAATTGAGGTGAATCATGTTTCAATTTGTTGGTATTAAAGCATTACCATAATAGTTCAGAGACAAAGTGACAGCAGGCTGTTTATGAGAGCTGAGACAGGCAGGGGCAATAATTCCATTACATGTTATTGAAGAGAGAGTTTATAGAGAAGGAATTTGATTTTAAGTTTAATAAAAGTGAACATTAGAGAATCACAGCATTGATGTATAGTAATAACTAAACAAATAATGTTTGCTCTAATGAAAATACTGACACTGATTTGTTACCTTGACATTACTTGGTTTGTGCTATTGAGAATTGTCTCTAGTGCTGAAAAGTTTTAGTAATTTTAGAATAATAATTCAATGGTGGGATGCATAACATTTAACCTTGATGAGAACAGAGGGGAAATTAATTCCAGGATAATAAAAGTAGATTTTTTTCTTGTGCTGTTTATGAAGATGAGTGTGTATCTTCTCCTGTTTTTCAGAATCTAGACCTTGCTAAGGAGAGATGATTAGAAAACCCAAACCAAAGAGGATTTATAGTTTTCATTTATATATATGTTAACTTGTCAAAAATGAAATCAGTGCTATTGTTTTCTGTCTCCTGATTCCTCTCCTCACTTTACTATATCTCAGATGTTTATGTTCCCAATAACTATACCCCTCACCAATTAGTGATGCTCAGGTTAACTGACCTTTTGTTATAGAAAATTGCCTTCGTCTTGGGCTGGTCCTTATATGTTTTAATTCCATTGAGTATCTCTCACTGGGAAGTGGTTCCATCTTTTGATCCTCTTGCTTCCATCCTCTGTAGTTTTCCTCTACTTCCATCCACTTGTTTCCTGTGATTATCCATTTCCACCCAGTTTAAGAAATGCAGATTGTGGTCCACTTCAACCTTGATCACCTTTCATTCAGCTGTACATGACAGCTGAATGTCTATGTCTGGTAAGATGTAGGGGGGGTCATCTTAAAAATTAGCATACATGAGAAAAAAACATCTGATAATTATCTCTCACTTCCTGAATTATTTTAATTGGCATAAAGACCTCTAGGTCCATCCATGCAGTGCATGACTTCATCATTTTTAACAGCTGCACAATACTCCAATTACTACACAGACCACACCTTCTTCTAGTCAGCTATTGGATAGCAGATTGTTTCCACGCCTTGGTTATTGTAATTAATGCAGCAGTAAACAAAATGAACAAAATGTCTTTTTTTTTCTTTTCAAGGCAGAAGTGTGAAAGTACTATATTCAGAGAAGAACACAGCATTCGGAGGAAGCCCACCCGGAGAGGCTTTCTGTCGTCTTAGGAGTGTCTCTAGAACCTGGAGCTGCAGAAGGGCAGACAGTGAGAATTCTGAGGCTTCACTTTAAGGGGGCTTGTGCGAAAAACTCATTAAAAACTTTCATTTTCTAAAAAATGATTTTATTGTGGCAGAGTGCATTCCTTGTGTCTAGCCAAGCCTCTTCTGTTTTCATTTTGTATTTGTCTTTGAATTGTTCCTTTTGAGAGAAGAGTGGAGCTCCCAGGTGAAGATGTGATCTGATATTTCGGCTCAGGACTAGAGCCTGAGATATTTAGAACACAGGAAATGCTAAGGAGCATTGCCTTTTGTAGTCCCTCTGTCCCTCAGACTTTACTCTGTGAAAAGGAAATAAATAGGGACAAAATGTCTTGAGCTCAAAGGGTTGGGGGGATTAGAAGAACTCATGAGGGTGTTAGAGGCATGCTGACATTGTTGGCATCGATTCTAGTGGTCTTATGTGCACATTACACCTGTGCTGAGAACTGTGTAAACTCCCAGAAACTCTTGCAGAGATACAGGTTATTTTCTACTTTTCCTAATATAAACTGTGCAAGTACCTGAGAAGTCTCCATCTTTGGGAAGTCATTTGCCTTGGCTAACCAGAAAAGCCTTTCTCTTTAAGAATGCTACTTGGTGGCAAGCGAGTTTCACACCAAGAAGTTCCCTTAAAGGTTCGCTGCTGCCCCCGTGCGGCCTCACTGCTCCACAAGCAGCAGGAAGGCCACGCTCAGTCTCCAGGGTCGGAAAGCCTCAAGACCTGGCAGGGGGGCTCTCAGGTGCGTTCCCAGCCAGTCTTCCCCCACCTGCCTCCCCGCCTCCCGAGCTCCACCCGGGTCCCGCCAGGCCCCGCCCCAAACGCTAGTAGACCACGCCCACTGTACCACAGACCCACATCCCGGGCTGGACTCCGCCCCGCCTCGCCCAGGCCACGCCCCGGACTAGACCCCGCCCCGTCCCACCCAGGCCACACTCAGGGTTAGGTTCCGACCCGCCCCGGACCACGCCCCAGATTAGACGCGTCTCCTGTCTCGCTCAGGCCACACCCCGCATTAAACTCCGCTCCGTGTCCCTCCCCGACCAAGCTCCACATTAGACTCCGCCCCGCCCCGCCCGTCCAGGGCACGCCCCACATTAGACTCCGCCCCAGACCGCCCGCCCAGGTCACGCCCCGGGTTAGACTGTCCTGCCGGGGACTAGCCTCTCGCTCCCTAGACTAGACTTCGCCCCGCCCAGGTTCCCTCCCGGACTAGACTCCGCCCCGCCTAGACTCCGCCCCGCCCCGTCTAGACTCCGCCCAGCCTCCCTCCCCGACTAGACTCCGCCCCGCCCCGAATAGAATCCGCCCAGCCTCGCCCAGGCTCCCTCCCCGACTAGATTCCGCCCCGGCCCGACTAGACTCCGCCCAGCCTTGCTCAGGCTCCCACCCCGACTAGACTCCGCCCCGCCCCGAATAGAATCCGCCCAGCCTTGCTCAGGCTCCCTCCCGGACTAGACTCTTAGCCCCGCCCCGACTAGACTCCGCCCCAGCCCGACTAGACTCCGCCCAGCCTTGCTCAGGCTCCCTCCCGGACTAGACTCTTAGCCCCGCCCCGACTAGACTCCGCCCCACCCTGACTAGACTCCGCACCACCCCGACTAGACTCCGCCCCGCCCCGACTAGACTCCGCCCAGCCTTGCTCAGGCTCCCTCCCCGACTAGACTCCGCCCCGCCCCGACTAGGCTCCGTCCAGCCTTGCTCAGGCTCCCTCCCCGACTAGACCCCACCCCGCCCCGACTAAACTCCGCCCAGCCTCGCCCAGGTTCCCTCCCCGACTAGACTCCGCCCCGCCCCGACTAGGCTCCGTCCAGCCTCGCTCAGGCTCCCTCCCCGACTAGACCCCACCCCGCCCCGACTAAACTCCGCCCAGCCTCGCCCAGGTTCCCTCCCCGGCTAGACTCCGCCCCGCCCCGACTAGGCTCCGTCCAGCCTTGCTCAGGCTCCCTCCCCGACTAGACCCCACCCCGCCCCGACTAAACTCCGCCCAGCCTCCCGCCCCGACTAGACTCCGCCCCGCCCCGACTAGACTCCGCCCCACCCCGACTAGACTCCGCCCAGCCTTGCTCAGGCTCCCGCCCCGACTAGACTCCGCCTCGCCCCGACTAGGCTCCGTCCAGCCTTACTCAGGCTCCCGCCCCGACTAGACTCCGCCTCACCCCGACTAGACTCCGCCCCGCCCTGACTAGGCTCCGTCCAGACTTGCTCAGGCTCCCACCCCGACTAGACTCGGCCCCGACCCGACTAGACTGCGTCCAGCCTCGCTCAGGCTCCCTCCCGGACTAGACTCTCAGCCCCACCCCTACTAGACTCCGCCCCACCCCGACTAGACTCCGCCCAGCCTCGCCCAGGCTCCCGCCCCGACTAGACTCCGCCCCGCCCCGACTAGGCTCCGTCCAGCCTTGCTCAGGCTCCCACCCTGACTAGACTCGGCCCCGACCCGACTAGACTGCGTCCAGCCTCGCTCAGGCTCCCTCCCGGACTAGACTCTCAGCCCCACCCCTACTAGACTCCGCCCCACCCCGACTAGACTCCGCCCAGCCTCGCCCAGGCTCCCGCCCCGACTAGACTCCGCCCCGCCCCGACTAGGCTCCGTCCAGCCTTGCTCAGGCTCCCGCCCCGACTAGACTCCGCCCCACCCCGACTAGGCTCCGTCCAGCCTTACTCAGGCTCCCGCCCCGACTAGACTCCGCCCCAGCCCGACTGGACTGCGTCCAGCCTCGCTCAGTCTTCCTCCCGGACTAGACTCCGCTCCACCCCTACTAGACTCCGCCCCGCCCCGACTCGACTCCGCCCAGCCTCGCCCAGGCTCGCGCCCCGACTAGACTCCGCCCCGCCCCGCCCAGGTCGCCCTGACTGGACTCCGTCCCGCCCCGGGCCGCGCCCTCGTCCCGCCGCGCCGCTGAGGGAGAGGCTCCGGGAGCCACACCGGTCGTGGGCGGGACTCGAGGACGTGCGGGAGGCGCCGCGTCGTGACGCGCGACGCGGCCGTTTACGCAGCCGCAGTGCCCGCTCCCCGCCCCCGGCCCTGTCAGCTGCCGGGCCGGGCCGGACGTGTGGCGGCGGCGCTGCTGCGGTGGGCCGGCCCCGGGCTGTCCGCGGAGCGAGGCCGCGCACCTGCCCGCTCGCCCAGGTGAGGGATTCGGGCCTCGGAGGCGGCCGGTCGCTGCCGTCCGGGCGTCGGTGCCTCTCAGCCTCCGCCGCCCGTGGCGGAGCCTCTGCGCCCGCTTGAGCTCTCGAGGGCCGCGTCAGCTTGGGGGTCCGGTCGGGTCCGGGGTTCCGGATCCGATCGGGTCCGGGTCCGGGTTCCTGGCGGGCGGGCCAGGGACTGCGGTGGGCGGCTCCCCTCCTGCGCTCGGCCCGGCTGTCGGGGCTCCCGGGGAGGCCGGTGCCGGGGAGCGGCGGCGCCCGTGCCCGGCGGCGGCCGCGGGAGTCGCCCTGGCCCGGCCGGCCCTGAGGGGCGGCGGCACCTGTGCCCGGCCGCGGGAGTCGCCTGAGGCCCGGCCGGCCCTGAGGGGAGGCGGCGCCTGTGCGGGAGTCGCCTTGGCCCGGCCGGCCCTGAGGGGCGGCGGCGCCTGTGCCCGGCCCGAGCGGCCCTTTCGCTGCGCGGCGTCCAGGCCGGTCCGGGCCAGCTTCCGAGCTGACTGCGCGTCGCGAGTGGGCATCGAGGGTCAGGAGGCTCGTGGTCCTGCGTGGCGATTGTTGCCTTGACTTAATCGCCGTAGCGACCTGCGTTCCTACTTGGACTCTGGACGACCGAATTTAGGTAGACCGAAGCCTCGGGAAGAACTTGCCCAAGGCCAGAGTTGTGATTTTTGACCCCCGTTTTCAGTGCCTTCGTCACTATGCCTGCCACCTCTCTCAGCACCCTATGCGTTTGCAAGATTTGCACTTGATAAAAAGTGCTGGGGCAGAGGATGAGAAAGATCCGGCGGTACTATTCTCGAGAGCAAGGACCCAGATGTTTGAGAGAATGACTTTCTTTTTTAAAAAATTGTTTCGGATGGGGCCCCACCCGGGGATGCTGAAAGCTTACTACTGGCTCTGCACTGAAGAATCACTCCTGGCGATGGTGCTGGGGGACCCAGTGGGATGCCGGGGATCGAACCCGGGTTGCCTGCGTGTAATGCAAGTGCCCTCATTGCTGTACTGTATCACTCTCGCCTGAGGGGATAGCTGTTTCAAGGTCAGACTTTAAGTGTTAAGGGTATTTTGTGAGTGAAAGAACCCGCTGGCAAGCAACTATCACTATCGCCCCGTTGTTCATCGATTTGCTCCAGCGGGTGCCAGTAACGGCTCCATTTGTCACTGTCATGTGCTGGTGTAGCTCAGTGGCATATTGGGGGCTCTTTCAGGGTCAAGGGAATGTGGACCATCATTGTTACTGTTTTTGGTATATCATGTACTCCACGGGTAGCTTGCCAGGCTCTACGATGCAGGTGGGATACTCTCGGTAGCTTGCCGGGCTCTCTGAGAGGGATGGAGGCTTTTGGGGCAGCCTCTAATCACCTCTACAAATGTTCCCAGTCAGGCTCATTTGTGGGCAAGATACTCTCAGTAGCCTGCTGGGTTCTCTGAGAGCGAGAACTAGACAATAAGAGATCGTGCTGCCGTAAATTCGGCCTTGTGCTTCCGGGAGCTTGGTTTTATAGTGTCTGGATCTTGGCTGTTGATGGGGTTACACGGCAGTTGGTAGGTGTAACTGTCTAGCTACTGGAAGATGGGGGATCTGGGTGGAGGAGACCCAATCCCAATCTGAGCAGGCTTGGAGATCTCAGCCCCAGATCCTGCACACCCTCCTCGCATGTGGAGAGTGGTCTCAGCATGGCTGTGGCTGGGTTCTGGAGGTCTTCAGCTGTCAGGCGGAGAGGGAAACTCAGCCCTCTAATAATAATCTAAATGGCAACCAACATTATACTCTTTTTCTCAGTGCATTGGTTTTAAAACCTTTGGAAGGTCGACGTTTGGGAATTCTGATTTAGTCTAGATTTAGGAGTATTGTTTGGAAACTTTAAAGAACGATATTAGTATTGGAACAACATGTAAAACTTTGCATACATTCATAATAAAGTAATTTCATCTGAAATGGTGCAATTTCTGGTAATGACAAAATGTCTTGTGTGATGTGTTAAAATGCTGCTCTTTTTTAGATTTGTTAAGATGAAACACTGCATATGGCCCTCGGAAGCTAAGGAGAGGGGAAAACAGAAAATTGCAGACTTTTGGAAAGAAGACCTCGGTAAATATTTTGGCTAATTTTTTAACTCTAATTTCCAGATAGAGCTCAGATGAAAGAAATCCTTTAACCTCTATGCTTTGAATGTGGTTTAATCTGCTTGAATGGTAAAGACTTGAGGTGGTAGACATGTGTACATGACCTCACAGTAGTTTTGTTTTTATTTTAGTGTACTTCTTTATTTGTGCTTAGCTTCTATTGGCAGGAGAGAGCTGAAGGGAACTTTGGTTAAGTTGACTTTTCTCCTTTGCTTGGTCATTAATCTTCTATTATACATGGTTTATAAAGAAAGAAAATTGTTGATGTTAGTTTGTTTTTCATGGAGTACTGTCTATGATTGAACCCAGTACAAGATTTGATTACATGTGATCCAGAAACATTTGATTTAGAAATAACTGCTACTGAAAATTAATATTTTAACTTAGTAACTTTTTTACAAGGTAATGCATTTGTAAACTTGGTGTTTTTAAAAATTTTATATGCAACAGTGTTTTTAAAAGATTTGGATATGCTATGTGTTTGTATTTGTAATAAATCTTCCATGTAATCAGTAAATAAAGGAAGGTTAGCACTTTGTTAGTGCTAATTTAAGGTACAAAGGGGAATTAGAATTTCTGCTGACTTAGTTTTAGCATACTGTTTTTCATGTAAAAGACAGTAACAGAGGGACCCTGGAGGTAACTCAGTGATTAGGAATGCCTGCCTTGCATATGCAAGGACCCAAATGTGATCCCTGGCACTCAAGTCCCCTTGCTCAGCACCTTGGGGCATAGGCCTGAAAGCACCTTCATGCCTAGTATTGAACCATGTGGCCTCATTGGTTGAGTGTTGCTGGGAATCTCTGGGTATCTGAACACTGCTTGGGAGGCCCCTATCCCCTATTTATTAGTTTTATTTTGTTTTGATTTTTGAGTTATACCTGTGCTGGGATGCTGGGGATTAAACCATGTTCAGCCTTGTGCAAGGCAAACACCTTACTGAGGTACTCTGTCCCCCATCCCCATTAGGATTGTAGCAGTGTCCTTCTGTTCATTGATTTGTTTGAGCAGGCACCAGTAACGTCTCCATTGTGAGACTTGTTGTTACTGTTTTTGGCATATTGAATATGTCACAGGGAGCTTGCCAGGCTTTGCCGTGTGAGGGGAATATTCTCGGTAACTTCCTGGGCTCTCTGAGAGGGGCAGAAGAATCAAACCTGGGTCGGCTTCATGGAAGGCAAACGCTCTACCCACTATGCTATCTCTCCGGCCCCCACCCCCATTAATTTAAAAAAATAGGATAGAATTTTAAAACTTTATGGAAGGTTAAAAAAATTAACTCATTACTTTAATAAAATATCTGGAAACTTCGTAAGTGACCATAGAGCTGACATGGCCAGACAGTCTGGGTGATGAAGAGAGATAAGCTTGGAAGCACAGTGCATAGTGATCAATGAGAAATTTTTGCAGTATTCCAGATGGCGCATGAGAAATGAAGCAAAGTAGTGCAATTGGAGTTAAGGAATGAGACATACTAGATGGAAGCAAGGGAGGTAGACTATTTGGACTTAGTGATTTAAGGGAAAGTGCAGTGGTGGTAGCTTCTGGTCACTATCATATTCTTTCACATAATTAATTCATATTAAATAACTTTCAGACTAAGTGTTGTGACATCTTTAGTATTTGCCTTGGGGTACTGAGTGAGTCCCAGGCCCGTTTACTGTGAGTATAGCAAGAGCAGTCGATTGAGGACTTGGAGGAGACACACTCATTAAGGGGCTTTTATATTTGAGGCATCTCTGACTATTTTTTTTTACTAAAAATTTTTTTAATAGTGAGACATCATGAGGTACAGTTGCAGACTTACACATTTTTGTGCTTGGGTTTCAATTACACAATGATTAAATACCCATCCCTCCACCGGTGCCCATTTCCCACCACCACGGATCCCAGTATTCCTCTCACCCCCCATCTCCCCCATCCCACCCTGCCTCTGTGGCAGGGCATTCCCTTTTGTTCTCTCTCTCTTATTGGGTGTTGTGGTTTGCAAAAGAGGCAGTGGGTGCCATCATGTTTAGTCTATAATCTACTTTCCGTATGCTTCTCCCATCCTGGGAGGATCCTCCCAACACCTTTATTTGGTGTTCCCTTCTTTATCTGAGCTTCCTTTTCCCCTAGTATGTGTGGTTGGCCTCCAAACCATGGAGTAAAATTCCTGGTACTAATCTCGGCCATTCTTGGGTGTTAGTCTCCTATTTTGTTACTTTATGTTCCCCACAGGAATGCAATCTTTCTATGTCTATCCCTTTCTTTCTGAGTCATTTTGCTTAACATGATACTTTCCATGTAGTACTACTTGTATGTAAATTTCATGACTTCGTCTTTTCTAACAGCTACATAGTACTCCATTGTGTAAATGTACCAAAGTTTCTTTAACCAGTCATCTGTTCTTGGGCACTCAGGTTTTTTCCAGATTCTGACTATTGTAAAGAGTGCTGCAATAAACAGACAATTGCAGATGTCACTTCGACTATACTTTTTTGCCTCTCTGGGATATATTCCCAGGAGTGGTATTGCTGGGTCAAATGGGAGCTCAATTTCTAATATTTTGAGAATCGTCCATATTGTTTTCCAAAAGGGCTGAACCAGTCAGCATTCCCACCAGCAGTGGAGGAGGGTCCCTTTCTCACCACATCCGCGCCAGCACCGGTTGCTTTTGTTCTTGTGGATATGGGCCAGTCTCTGTGGTGTGAAGTGATATCTCATTGTGGTTTTGATCTGCATCTCCCTGATGATTAATGATGTGGAGCATTTTCTCATGTGACTTTTAGCCATTCGGATTTCTTCTTTGTGAAAGTTTCTATTAATTTCATATCCCCATTTTTTGATGGGGTTGAATGTTTTCTTTTTGTGGAGTTCAACCAGTACTTTGTATATCCTTGAAATTAACCCCTTATCAGATATGTAGTTGGCAAATATCCTTTCCCATTCTGTAGACAGTCTTTGTATTTTGGTCACTGTTTCTTTTGAGGTGCAGAAGCTTCTTAGTTTAAGATAGTTCCATTTGTCTATCTCTGTTTTCACTTGCTTGGCCAGCGGTGTGACATCTTTGAAGACACCATTAGCTTCTATGTCATGGAGGGTTTTACCAACTTTTTCCTCAGTGTACCTTATAGATTCTGGTCTGATGTTGAGGTCTTTAATCCACTTAGATCTTACTTTTGTACATGGAGTTAGGCAGAGATCTGAGCCCATTTTTTTGCATGTAGCCATCCAGTTTTGCCAGCATAATTTGTTAAAGAGGCTTTCCCTGCTCCACTTCACTTTTCTTGCCCCCTTATCGAAGATTAGATGCTCGTATGCTTGGGGGGAGATGTCAGTTTATTCAACCCTGTTCCATTGGTTTACAGCTCTGTCTTTGTTCCAGTACCATCTGTTTTAATTATTACTGCCTTGTAGTAAAGTTTGAAGTTAGGGAGGTTGATTTCTCCCATTTTCTTTTTCCCAAGAATTGCTTTAGCTATTTGTGGGGGTTATTGTTCCATATAATTTCAGGAGTGTTTGCTCCACTTCTTTGAAGAATGTCATGGGTATCCTAATAGGGATTGTGTTGAATTTATACAGTGCTTTGGGAAGTATTGCCATTTTGACAATGTTAATTCTCCCATTCCATGAGCAGGGGATATTTTTCCATTTCCTCATATCCTCTTTTATTTCCTGAAGTAGCGTTTTATAGTTTTCTTTGTACAGGTCCTTTTCTTCCTTAGTTAAGGTGATTCCTAGGTACTTGATTTTCTGGGGCACAATTCTAAATGGGATTGTTTTCTTCATGTCACTTTCTTCTCTTTCACTATTTGCATATAGAAAAGCCATGGACTTTTGGGTATTGATTTTATAGCCTGCCACTTTACTATACAAGCCTATTGTTTCTAGAAGTTTCTTGGTAGAGGTTTTAGGATTCTCTTAGTATCATATCATCTGCGAATAGTGAGGAGGCATCTCTGACTTTTAAGAAATGTCATTAGTAAGTTTATATGGTTATTCATTAAGAAGATTCATCTTGATATTTAAATTTTGGAGTCTCAGTTTGTAGATAGTAGCTAAAATTAATGGGAATGGAGCAGATTACTCAGGGAGAACACATAGAATAATAAATGAGGTAGAAGCAAAACACCTCAAAGAATAACAGTAGGTAGGAAAATAGGAGAGAATGGGGACATAACAGAAATTAGTGGTAATGGAAAAAGGTGTACTTTAAGAATGTTGAAACATCAATTAAGATATCAGGAGCATATCTGTTTACTGTCCTTGTCTGTTAAGAAGTTGTTAACCTAAAGGCCTAGGAGATAGGTGACAGGGCTGAGTGACTGCTTTGCATGCAGAAGACTAGGGTTCATTCATCTTAGCCCAGCCCAAGTCTCCTGAATATTGCCTTGGGGGAAAAAGTTCCTTCACCCATCTCCTTTCTTCTTCTCCCTTCCCCCGCCCTCCCGCCCCAACTACAGGGCAGAGAATGGCCTTTGAGCATCACCTGCTGTGACTCAAAAAGAGAAAAATATAGAACAACAACAAAAGTGATCTGAACCAGAACACTAAGTGGAGCCATTCACGCTAGGTAGCACTGTAGCACTGTAGCACTGTCCTACCGTTGTTCATCAGTTTACTCTAGCGGGCCCAGTAACGTCTCCATGTTAGGTAGGAATGAAGAAAAGGGAATAGTTAGTGTCATTTACTCTTTCAGAAAGTTTGTTTTAAAGTGAAATAGAAAAGGAGATTATGAAAGAGATCAAAAGCCACAGTTTATCCTGGACTGGCACAAGGCTGAACCCCTGGGACACATTAGAGGGGGATGGGTTAGCCCAGTTCCCACCCACACAGAGCCCGGGCAGCAGCTTGCTCCCACAGTCCAAAATTGCTGCCATGCCTCCAGCTGGACTCTGCCGTCTTGGGGATGGACCTTTACAATATATTAATCTGCTGAAAATTTGGGTATGCGGGTTTTGTGACTGAAATTTCCAGGCTTTC